TCTGTTTTAGCCATCAAGCACACATGTGCAACAGCTTCAGCTTCCTCTTCTTCATCTGTCAGGTTCAGCCAATGTTCATCCTCAGCCATAAGAGCTTTGCCGGCATCTCTTTGTTTGGATAGAAGAAACTTATTCTTGTAGTAGTCGATATCACGATTTACCGGCTTCTTGCAGTTAATAGCAAAGTGGCCTAGCTTACCACAGTTATAGCATTTGGTGTTCTCATCAGCTACACCTTTGCTAAATTTCTTCCCTTCTTCCGGCTTTCTCTCATATTTCTTCTCGAATCTCTTTTCTTCATATTTCTTCTTCTCGTCAAATTTGTCTTAGTAATCATACTTTGAGCCTGACGAGAATCTCTGATTGTTCGAGTGTGGCCTTTTGGAGAACTTTTTCTGGAATGCTTTGGTCAGCATTGCCATTGCTTGCTTTATTTCTGACATTTCAGAATCAGATTCTGAGCTGTTACTGTCTTCTGACTCAGACTCACTTGATTGACTAACTTCTTTAACTTTCTTTCCAGATCTGTTTTTGTATTTCTTCTCCTTTCTCTCAGATACGAGAGCCAAAGGATCAKCAACTTCCTTCTCTTTCTTCTTTGCATTACGGATCTCCAAAACATCCTGCTMRTTMTDTTTCAGAGTTTCATATATTTCATGAATATCAATATCAGATAACTGTTTGTTAAATCTGATATGATTAGCAAATGGTTTCCACTCTGATTGGAGATTGTTAAGGAACTTAACATTTATCTCTATAGTAGTTTTGGAAATTCCGTTCTTTGTCAGCTCATTCAGCAGTCTGACAAGTCTGTTATAAACATCATCAAGACTTTCTTCTTCTCTAGCCTTGAATTCTTCATATGCAAAAACACAATTTCTAATCTTCAGTTGAGTTCCGACTTTCGAACCCATCATCATCTTTTCTATCTGAACCCACATGCTGTGACCAGATGATTTATAGCTGTCAATACTGGTATAGCTATCATTGGTCAGTGCTTGCATCATATAAGATTTGCAAAGCACATCAGCATGGGCTCTTTCTTTATCTTCAGCTGAATATTGATGTTTCAGTTTAGGTAATTTCTGTGCAGGTATGCCTGCAACTAAATCAGCTACTACCTCTATAAAGAATTCAGCTGGACCTTCCAATAGAGATTGCATGATCAGTTCTCCTTCTTTCATCCTTCCAATAAAGTTCAAAAATCTGTCTCTGCATTGATTATAGTCACCACGAAAAAGAACTGGTGGCTTGGTATCAGTACCAATAGCCATTGCTTCTTTTGAACTCATCTTTTCAGTTTGTATGAAAAACAGGATCAACTGCAGTTCAAAGTTTGAATTTAAAAGATCAGTTTACAAAAAAAAATATATCTGATAAAGTGTAAACTTGAATAAGCACACATTCAACACTTAGACAATTAAGCACAAGCACTTGTCCGGATTAGTAATCCGCACAAGTTTATCCGGTTTACAAGTCCKGTCAAAAAGATAGACAAATTTATCAAGTTATCCGGATTAGAAATCCGGGCAACACATGGACATAAACCGCACAAAGTCAAACTTAATAAACCGATCAAAAAGTCAATTAAATTAAACCGATCAAAAAGTCAAACTTATTAAACCGATCAAAAGAAACCGATCAAAAAGTCAAACAATTATACCGATCAAAAAGTCAAACTTATTAAACCGATCAAAAGAATTCAAACACTGTTCAAAGAATCAAACACTTAAACCGATCAAAGTCAAACACCGTTCAAGATATATACGATTGTAGAAATAAACCACTCAAAAGTCCAAGACTTACCAAGCGGATTCTAAACCGCACACACTTACCACTTGGATTGTTTAAACCGTTCAATATCCGAACAAGTTACAAATTTCTTACCRGCCGGATACTTTTAAACCGCACACTAAACCTTTCAAGARTTACACGGTTTATCAACCGRATTCTTTAAACCGCACAAAKCATCAACTAATCCGCACAAAGCATCAACRGTTTGTCAGCCGGATTAGCTAAACCGGTCAATGTATCCGCCCAAATGATGTCCGGTATATCCTATATCAAAACAACTCGAAGCACACGGATGTTAAACCGCACAAGCTTTAAGCGGACAAAGATTCAAGCAAAAACATAAAATTTCACACTTTTTACCAAAAATTTGGATCAAAACATGAAAAAATATGAGTTTTTAAGAACTTTTTCCAGAAAGCTAAAAATCGATTTTCGACTATTTCAGCCTTAAAACTTGTTTAAAATGCAAAATGGTGTGAATCAAGATTGTTTGAAATGTAAAACCGAATCTAACAATACAAATCTTTACAATTAACACTCCAAAAATGAACGATTTAGGCTCAAAAACCCCAATCCGGACTAAAAAAGTTCAAGAACAGTGAAGAACAAATCGATAAAAATTCTAAAAATCGTGCAGAAAAATGTGTAAAATGGATATATCTTCAAATCCAAACTGCTGCAGCTTGCTTTGATACCAATTGATAGTCCAGAAATCATACAAACATTAAACAATCTTCAAGAATCATGATGAATATCAAAGATGGAAAGAATTTGAACAAAGGATGATTAGATTGATAGAGAGAGAATATTACAGCTCTAATCTTGATAATTCTACTAATGACAATTGTTAATGACAATTACAAGGAAATCACTATTTATACTAGGAAATTGTAAAGGCTAAACTATTACAAAACAATTACACTAAGGAGAAACTTGAATACAACATTAAAGCACTAACTTGAACCCAACAAGTTAGAATGTGAGTCCTATGTGGAGTGAAAATGGGCTGGGAATGATGAGCAGAGGGACATCCTTTTACCCGCTTCTCCTTTTTCTGGAGGGAGGGCCAAGCCTCAAGATATGGGTACTTCGCCTCTTTCTTTCTGGTTGATCAAACTAAGACAATGTTGTTGCCAGAATGTATCAGCTTATCAGTTTCATCGATGATATGAAGCAATACTGGGAATCAAGAAGCTTATAAAGCTATGTGCCTTTTCTACCTACCAATGTGGAAAAGGAAAGTTTGATACTTCATGATCAATGGTTGTAACTGGGACAGGACAATAGGTTAACACACATAAAAAAATCTGGAACAAGGTGGTTAAAAGTTAACACTAGCAAGCTTATTCTTTTGATGGCACATTTAAATTTAGATATAGCAAATATATGTAAGGAAGGTGAGAATAACCTTGTTTCTATATGTTTGAAGTGCGTGTGTGGATGATGAATTGAATAATAATGTAAACCAAGTAGATTGATATCGGACAAACATCAGGTGAAAAGCTTAACTTTTGGTTTAGCATGGGTCATGATGGTGTCGCCTTGACCTTGTTTTGACATACATTGTAATTAACTTCACATGGTTTTAATCAACCAGGATCGCATTGTGGCTGCAAGATTTTGGTATTTTTTGTGTTGTAATTTGTGTGATAGAATCATATCAACCTGCAACTTGAATATGTATATCAGGAACTAAAAGGACCTTTTGGGATATAATTACAGTTGACATGTGTGAAATTTTTGGACTATGCAGTCATTTATTTTCACGGTTTCTTATTCGTAATTTAATAAAGAGGTAAGAGATCATGGACAGGTTGATCCTACGAATAACTTCCCATTAGAGTGTATCATCAGAAGAGTTTTTAGAAGTTCACAAGGAGATGAATGTCTGCTACTGTGCCCCATTGATACGTAAGTAGAAGAAATATCGAAAAGAGTTCAATATTTGGTCTAATATGTTTTGAAGTAACTATTTGTATCATCAGGCCTGTCCAGATACTAAAGAGCACAAACTTTGAAGGATGGTCAGCGGTATGTCTTTTGATGCTTTTAGTACCTTTTGTTATTGTCTGTGAATTTTGTAGTTCTGAATGTGGAGGATCTCTGTTTGTGGCTGCATTGTACATATGGGTATATGCAAAAGCTGGAGATCCAATCAAGCTTACCATGAAAAACTCCAACATATTGAAGTAGATTGTCATCTTCTTTATGACCGTATTGTCAGATACCTATTCAGCATGCGCATTAGGACTGCTTGTCAATATCTAGGCCATGCCATTATTATGGAAACCTGACATCAACTTCATATGCAGCAAGTAGGGCATTCATTGATATCTATGATCCAACTTGAAGAGGAATGTTAGATATACTTTGCAATGGTTTGGCAGTAATTAGGTCTATGATTTAGGCATGATTTTATTTTGTTTGATTTGATAATGTTTTCCTCGTATATATCACCTTAACATATATTTGTATTATGAACATTCTGCTTGGCAGCCTCAACAGTGTTCTTGCTTACTTGCATGTATTTATAATTATAATTTAGGTTAGTGATGATGAAGTTGAGTTTATCCTTCCTACTGCCTCTTATGCGCTTGCCAAGATACACATGCATCTGGTGTATAGTGGGTATGTTTACTTAACTTGCTACTATTCATATCAGTACTTGTATATATCATTTTAGCTTATTCTCCATGCTCATCTCATCAGGTTTTGCTATACAGCACGTGGAGGATTTTGCTACACTGAGGATGACATTTTTGAATGCCGTACAGGTACCAATGTTTTTGTCTTGAAGCATTTCATTGTTATTAAAAAGCATTGGTTTGATGACAAGAAATTCCATGTTTGACAAATGTTTACTGCATTGTGAACAAAGACTCCTAACCCCTTTTTAACTAATTTCACTGGCATCATTAACTTCCATAATACATACAGTATTTTATTGAATGATTACACATGCAGATGATGGTCAAGATTTGGATGGCTTACCAACTGAAGGTGTAGAAATAACATGCTTTCAGCTGGTATACATTTATGTAATTTTTCTAGTTTTGGAATAAAGTTGAGAAATTACTCTTAATGCATCATCATCACTTTTATGCATCATCAATTGTGCAGGATGGTTCCCATTACATGATCTACACACCATCTGACCCACTTCTGTTTGTAGCTGTCAAGGTAAGCATAAGCAAAAGGCTATTTGTTTTTAAAACAAGACCCGTGGAATATGACTTTTTTTACGTCATTCACAGGATGACAATGGTAAATTGCGAATTGCTGATGATGTAAGAGATCCATCACCTTTCCTTTCCTTAATACTACATTGCATTGCATACCATGAGTCGACATAATGTATTCTTTCTTCTAACAGGAGGTGTTGGAGGACGCAGCGACAATAAGTGCTATCGATGAGGAAACCGAGTTCAACGCTTTGGTGGTACGCTATTCCATTTTCCAACCAACATAACATGATTCAATAACTTTTTGCTGAGTCAATATATTATTTTGTGCAGGAAGAAGAGACTGCTTTGTTGGGATCACTATTGGGCAAGAGATAACCAACCACTTCCCTTATGTTTCATTTTTTCTTATCTGTACATATTATCTGTGTTCTTCAACCATCTAACGCTTTAGTTTAAGTTGTATCTGTCTAGTCTACTTCACTTCTTATGTGTTCGTGTACCAAATGGTTTTTTTATTGGTAATTTTGATTGCCTGTGCTACTTTGTACACACCTCAACTAATCTCCTCAAGCCTTCAAGGCAATAGGATGACAAACGTTCTGATGCGGTGGGTTTGAACCCATGACCTCTAAAGCCAGACGTTTTCCAAAGGTTTGTGGTGGTCAAAAACTCAGAATAGACATCATTACTTTCATTAGGGCATCTTGTATTTTTTTTTTGGAAGCATAAATTCATTATTCATGTGATGAATCGAAACAAAATAATTTTGTTTGAAGTTCGACGTACGTAAGCGGACAATGTAAAATGCTTCATAATTATCCTATCGGAGATTGCTATGTGTTACATTTTAATCTCAACTTAAACTTTCTAATATTAGAAGGTTATTTGACTCTTAATATCACTAACTTTTAGAATGCCTAATGATCACAAGGTTTTTCATTTTGAATGAATGATTTTTAGTGTCCACGCTGAATTGTGCCAACAGAAAGAGGATGGAGTTCACAAGATATTTGGTCAAAATTGTTGTTGATTTTAGTGAAATTATGTATTTTATGTGATTGGATTCATAACAGGATAATGTGGTTGGTAGTTAAGCTATAACACGAACTAGGAGGTATGGAGGTATGGAGTGTATACTTGTGTAGTTAAGCTATACCTGAGATTCTTGGATGGTTATATATGACAAGTTTCTAAGTGGGTAGATGGCAGTGCATAGGCTGTGCATCTTTTCTCATGAGAAGAGCACAGGTCGTGTTTGGAAACAGAAAGCTGTACACGGTCGTGCAGTTTTTTAACTTGAAAATAGCATGGGTCGTGCGTTTATTGTTATGTGTTATTAGCTGATCAGTATTTCATCAACTGATGGTTTGCGACTGACGGGGTCATCAGCTCATGGTTTTGCTTCTAATGAATTATCAGCTGATGGGTATATCGGCTGATGGGTATATCATCAACGGGGTCATCAAGCTAAAGGTTTTCCCATTGATAAGTTATCAACCGATGATGATATCATCAATTTTGAAACTTTTCTGTTTTGTAACTGCCAGTTACTTATTTCCATCAATTATTTTCATTTAATAGGAAGTTATTCTCGACATTAACATATGAGCCGTTATGATTCTTTAACTTCAAAAGGGAATGATTTTTGTCAAAATCAGTACTGAAAATTTGAGATTATCCTGGAGGAGTTCTGGGATGCCCAGGCAGATTTGGGTCAAGAAAAACGAGCTCTCATGCGATCACAAGTGATTATCCAAAATTTATGCTCACCATTTTCTCGTAGTACTGACGATGTCCCCAAAATCTTAAGTGATATTTGTTCTTTATGAGAAACATGACGAACGAACAATATGTGAGAGACATGACTTCCATGTTTACAAAGCTTGAGAAGTTCGAGGGTGTAGATTTTCGAAGATGACAAAAGAAGATAGCTTTTTGTTGGCCATGTTGAAGGTGGTGTAAGTTCTAAGCACTCATATGCTGAGTACCAGACTAGATTTAAGGTTGCTTCAATAAATGTTAAGTGTTAGTGGTATCAGACTTCATCAAATATCTAGGATGTGAAGATCTAGAGATCTGGACCCGAAGTAGTTAAAGTCTGATATAAAGTCTGATGCATAGTATCAAGGTAACTTACAGAGTTAGAGTAATATGTTTGATTGTAAAACATATCTTGTTCTTATTTGTTTGTATCGTACAGGCATGTAACTTTAGCTTTATCTATGTTATAGATAGTGAATAGAGTTAGTTAGTTGCAATGTAACAGATTACAATTCTTACTTGACGATTTATACTATCTCTCTTGTAATGCCCCAACCCACATATTGCATGTAACACATATTTCATACAAAAGAAATACAAGATATCATTTCATTCAGGTCCCTTAGTACAAGAATCTAACATGACCAGATACAAGGTTCAAAAATTCAAAATACATTTCTTGTACTAATCAATCAAAACAGATCTTTAAGCAGAAGCGCATAAA